TTTGTTAACATCTCTTCCCTTCCCCTCACCTCCCCCTCTCCCATGTCCCACCGGAACTGTCAGTCCCGTTGTTTTCTTCTCCAGATTGTTCATCCAGCCTATTCTATGCAGTATGTCTGTATTTTCTATTCAACTCTTTGACTTTATCATTTATTCCATCTACTTCAGCTACTCTATGATTAAGAGTTTTTCAGTCGCTTCTCATCAACTGATCTTTCTTTCAAGTCTTTTAAATGACCTTTTGCTTTTTTCATGAATGATATTCTTGCCCTCTCACAGTTTTCATCAAGTTTGTTGTCATTAGTGTTCACTGCATCAAATATGTTCTTGAGATGTTCTCAAAATTCAGGCGGGATAGACTCAAGGTTGTGTTTTGGCTCTAGTGGACTTGTTTTAATTTTCTTCAGCTTTAACTTGACTTATATTTGATCAATTGATGGTATGTGCCACAGTCAACCCCTGGCCTGGTTTTAAGTGCTGATGTTAAAGTTTTGCATTGTGTCTTCCCACAGCTATAATCAATTTTATTTCAGTGTATTTTATCTGAAGATGTTCATGTGTATAGTTGCCTTTTGTGTTGTTGAAAAAAGATGTTTGCTATGAACAAATCATTGGTCTTGCAAATTCTATCATGCACTCTTCAGCTTATTTCTGTAACCAAGACTATACTTTCCAACTTCAGTTCCTTCCTCTTTGTTTCCAATTTTTGCATTCCATATGCCAATTATTATCATCGATGAAACTTGATTGCATGTTTCATCAATTTCTGACTGAAGACATTGGTAAAATTCTTCAGTTTCTTTATCACTAGCTTTTGTGGTTGGATTTGATTGGATTTCCTTGAAGGTAGATAGATAAATTTCTATCACAGCATTGCACTTCAAGATTGATTTTGAAATATCCTTTTTGACAATGCAACTCCATTCCTCTTGATTGTGTTATTCCTGGCATAGTAAATCTTATGATTTTCTGATTCAGAATGGCCCAAACAAGTCCATTTTCATGCACTATACCTAGAACATTAATTTGTATGTATCCCATTGCATTTTTTACAAGTTCCAATTTTCCTAGATTCATACTTCTTCACATAAAATTCCAATCATTAGCTGATGTTTACAGCTGTTTCTTCTTAAATTGCATCATGCCCCATTAGCAAATGAAGATCCCGAAGGCTCTGCTCTCACAGGTTTTACTCTACGTCATCACGGCTGACTCCACTCCAGGAAAGCAGTTCCTGCTGAGTCACATTATAGGTGCCCTTGGCTCAAGGGGCCTAGTCTCCTGCACTGAAAGATAAAGACATTTTAAAGTCTTTAATAACATATCTAACAATAATACATGAAAGTACAGATTTTATTATACTTTTGTAAAAACTACTATTTTCAAAATTTTATTCTAAAGATTATAGTTAATATCTGCATTAAAGTGGAAAGAAGTAGGTTCTTTGCAATCATTGATAGAAACAAGCAGATTGCTAAAAGTATCCTCTCTCCAAGTAAATGTCTAATCTTAATTTGTATTACTTTCCAAATCCATGTGACTATACATTTTAATACCTACTAATGTTTAATATCCAAATATTTTTCTTACAGAATAATAAACCAGGGAAAAAATGGAAAGTTATGACTCAGGAATTTATTAATCAGCACACAGTGGAACACAAAGGAAAACAGATCTGTAAATACTTTCTGGAAGGAAGATGTATTAAGGTAAATTTATTGGAACATCAAAGAATGTCAAATATCATTTAAATTTTCAAAATAAGTAGAATTTAAAATTGAGGGTTTAATGAAATCATATTTTACTTGCAAAGTAGAATCTGATTGAAGCAGGTATGATTCTAAGTGGATTATTATTATTAAATTATTTAATCCTTGCAGCATTTCTATGAAATAATTACTGTTATTATCCCTATTTTATCCATGGTACCAAGAATAAATTACGTATTCACAGAAGAGCTTGAAATGATAAATTGTGGTGGAACACAGACAATAACCTCTGAGCCATGCACTTTACCAATAGTGCTGCCTCTGCATAGACTATTAAACATCTCCACTTTATTGGGCAACAATTCTCAGGGATTATTTGAATTATTAAGTTAATTTGAAAGACTGAAGATAGGACAGTGTCCCTCTTTGAAACAAGATGGCAAAAATAATTCAATTGTTGTTCTTTGTTTTCTTGATTTTTTTTCTTTCTTTGACTTTTTTTCTTCTATTCTTTGTGACCAGGGAGATCAGTGCAAATTTGACCATGATGCAGAATTGGAGAAGAGAAAAGAGATCTGCAAATTTTATTTACAAGGATATTGTACCAAAGGAGAAAACTGTATTTATATGCATAATATCCTTTAAGGAAATGTGTCTTAGCTCGATAATTGAGGATTTTTTTAACTCATAAATGCAATCTAGGAAGATTGGTATGCATTTAAATTTAAAATAATGTACTACATAAATCCATTCCAGAAAGCCTTTGTACTTCAAAAGAGTAAATGAATTTTTATTCTGTAGGGAAAATGAAGTAATTACCTTTTGCATGGCAAAAATCTAAGAAATAGAAGTACTTCAGATGTGATATAATTAGCAAAAAGCATTTCAAAAGACTGTTTCCTGAAGGAGAACTTGGCAAAATATTTATTCCATGACTTATTTTGCATAGCTTCCTAAGTAATAAATTATTTAAAACCATCAAGCCTTCCCATTCAGTAATAAACACTATATTCCTTCATACTTTTCCCTTTGACAAGCCTATACATTTAAATTGTACCCCTCCCCCCACCAAAATTGGATTTTTACTATATTTTAAATAATATATTCTGAATCTATGTTAATTTCCCTCCAAATATCTAACTAGTGATTCACTACCATTTATGAGTAGTGGGACCTTTCCCATGTGTTAGAAATTCTATAGTACACCCTGAATGATTAAATACATGGTGGAGCTTTTTCCTTAAACTTTCTATATGACTCCCTGGATCTATTGACCTTTATGTCTGTATTGCTTTGCTGTAATTATTTCTACAAAAATAGTACAAAGATGTCTGGTAGAGCAGCTTTGCTCCAAAGTGTTTTTCTTTATTTTTAGTTTATTCTCATGTGTACTTTGCCAGATAAATTTTAAGATAATTTTGTTGATTTTTTTAAAAACGGGAAGTGAATATAATGAAAAGCAAAAAAAACCCAATCCAGGATTCTAAATATAAAAAACTATACTATGTAAAAAATACCAGAGAATGCATGAATGAATTCTAACTCCAAAAAGCAGAAATTTTCCTAACTATGACTCAAAATCCAGAAGCAATGAGGGAAGAGATTGAACATTTAGTTACATAATTTTAAATTTGCATATCAAAATGACATAAGCAAAATTAAAAGGCACATGTTAAAAACAATCATTGGGAAAAAAATCATTGGTAATGTATGTAACTTACAAAAAGGTATATCCTTAGTACATGATTTTCTAAAAACTGAGATAACATAGGGCAAGAGAGACAGATAGTTTACAGGGGGAAAAAAAGTACAAATCGTCCTGAAAAGACAGTCATATTCTTAAGAAGTATGTGGATTCATCTACACTAAGATAACATGTGCAGCTATCAGATTTTCAAAAATTAAAAACTGGCTGTAAAGTTTGTTAATAGTGCTTGGGAATATAGACATATACCTATGAGGGGGACCCCCCAAATGGATTTTTTTCCCCAAAGCTATATATTTACATTTTTTTCAAAGTACTCTCCATTACACTCAATACATTTGTCAAATATGTGATTCCATTCTTGAAAACATTTTTCAGAGTCATCTGTTTGAATGACTGACTGCACCTCCCTCATTTTTTTTCTTCACCTCTTCTATGTCATCAAATTGCTGTCCTTTCATGTTCCTCTGCGTTCACGGAAACAAAAAGCAGTCGCACAGAGTGAGGTCAGGTGAGTCAGGTGCGGGTGGCAAGAGAGGCATGCTGTTTTTTGCCGAAAACTCTAGCACATTGAGATGGCTGCATGAGCAGGTGCGTTGTTGTGGTGGCAAATTCAGTTCCCCATCTGCCACAAATTAGGACTTTTTTGTTCCACACTTTTCCACAATCCTTTCAGAACCTCTAAATAGAAAACTTGATTAACAGTCAGACCTAGTGGAATGAACTCCAAATGCACTATCGCCCCACATCGCACCTGTTTTTTTGGGGGTACCCCCTCACGTACCTCACTTTTCAACATGGTTAGGTTCTAAAATGCAGAAATTGGCATGATGCAAAAATGGAGGATACTCACATCAGTGCCCACAAGGGAGGAGGACCACATCATAACATAAGTGGCAAATTACATCAATATGGCATAACTGCCAAACCACAGAGAATCATCACCTAGCCAAGTTGGCACATAACATTAACCGTCACAGCCAGTGTTACTCTCACCTTGCACTTTGACATTTGTTACTTGCTAGACATGCATTGTCAATTTACAAAATAGATACTACCTTTTTTTTTTTTTTCACTTTTGTAAATGCAAGATGTTGGATAATGAGGGTAAGTGAGGAATAGGTATACTCTTACCTTGGTTGGAATGTAGAAATGGTGTACCAAATGGAGAGAAATTTGCACAGGCAGTTACCCTTTGACCTAGCAATCCCACTAATTTGAAAATTCTAACAACAGTTGACCCTTGAACAACATGGATTTGAACTAGGTGGGTTCACCTATATGTGATTTTTTAAAAAAATAAATACAACATAAACTTGGTATCAAAAAATACAGTTAACTACTTTAAATGTGCTTTTTCTTATCATTTTCTTAATGTTTTCTCTCCCTGCCATCCAGTCAATTCCAACTCATAGCAACCCTATATTCATTTCTCTGATTTACTTTATTGTATTATACAGTATACACTACCTGTAGCATACAAAACGTGTGTTCTTTGACTGTTTCCTATTGGTAAGGTTCCCAGTCAACAGTAAAACCAAAATCAAACCCATTGCTGTCAAGTTGATTCTGACATCATGGTGACCCTATAGGAGAAAATAAAACCTGCCCCCTGTTGGGTTTCGGCACCATAATTCTTTCCTATCTTTACCTCATCTTTCTCTTGAAGAGCAGCTGGTGGTTTCAAACTGCTGTCCTGTGCTTAGCAGCCCAATGTGTAACCACGTACAACATCAGTGCTCCTGGCCAACAGTAAGCTATTTGTAAATAAGTTTGGGCAGGAGTCAAAGTTATATATGCATATTTTTACCATGGAAGAGTTGGCACCCCTAACCCCTGTGTTCGAGAGTCAACTATAGTTAATTAAGGAATCTAGGCAGTTATTATTAATGTTGCTGAAATCAGTAAGTGAAAAGTTGAATATATCAGGCCTGTAATAACCTGAGTCAACTGATAGTAGGCCCAGTGGAACCAGAGGTTAATCACTTGGTTGCTAACTGAAAGGTCAACAGTTCAAAGTTATCAGTCACTGAAAAGGGTGGAACAAGAAGACAAATACCTCCTGATATGGTGTAGTTGGGAGTGAATGCCAACTATAAAGTAGTAGTGCTAGAAATGAGACTATGAATATAACCAAATGTCTAAATCCAATGACCAGTTTATAGGAAATACAAGAGATGAAATCAATGCTGCATTCAGTCTTATAGGCTAGAGTAGAACTATGAGTCACAAGGTTTTCTTGGCTATAATCTTTATGGAAGCAAATTTCCAGACATTTCTTCTTCATTGGAGAGGACATGAACCACAAAGCTTTTGATTAATAGTTGAGTGAAAACCATTTATGCCACCCAGGGATCTTACAGGATATATAGGACATCACAGAGGTACAATGAACTAAATTCTAGTTTATTTGTCAAGACAACAAATGACAAGTTTCTTTTAACAAAGAAATTATAGAAAAATAAAAGGGGAAACTTTGAAAGCAAAACAAGTAACACAGCATTGGGTCAATTCCAACTTGGAGCAACCCGAGTATTTCTGAGACTAAATCTTTCCAGGAGCAGAAAGCTTCAGCTTTCCCTTGCAGGCTGGTTTGAACTGCTGACCATAGAGTTTGCTGCTCAATAACCAATTATGCCACCAGGGCTCCTTACGGGATTCTTACAGAGGGATTGAAAAACTTGTACGTTAACTAGAGGTAATTGTGGATCATGTTTGGATTCTGATTTGAATGAAGCAGTTATTTTTAAAACAACATTAACATTTATTATTTTATGTTGATTGGATCTGAGATTAAATTAATGTACCAATTTTGTTGGGTTGATAATGGGATTATGATTATTAAGAAAAATTACTCCTTATTTAAAGCATGTGTGTATACACACACATATACATATGTAACGTGCAGTATTTTTAAAATACTTCAGTATTTGGAAGGAGAATCATGAAGGAATATACTGCTGGTACTAAATTTGCTAAATGATGGAAATTATTGAATCTATATGGTCAGCATGAGGGGATTCATTTTATTATTCTCTCTACTCACTTTGAAAATTTCCAAACTTACTTTTTTTTCAATCCTCAGTAATCTTATCCTTTGGGGATAAATCATGTTAATAATAAGGCTTAAAGTCATTTGAGATTTGCCTTCTGTGCTAAGGTGGTAGGTACATGAATGAATGTATAAGGAGGCTTTAAAAAACCCATCGAAAAGTCTATCATTTAATTGCCTTTCCACAAACCATTTGTAGCCCCCTCATATGTTTGTGTATATTTATCCACATAATTTTTAAAAATACTAATATCTATAATTATGATACTTGTATTTTTCACTTTATACTGATGAAGAACACACATGATGAAAGAGAACTTGATTTAGCAATATTTATTTGGAAACGGACACCTTTTGAATTCTTTGAACTATTCGCCTAAAAGCCCCTATTCTAACATGCAGGGTTTTTCCCATCCAAAAGTTTATTCTTACGTGTGGTTTTGTTTTTAACTGTCATACCATCAGCAAATAGTTGTAATTTTCTTCATTCTCAATGTTTATACCTTCTACTTAATTTTAGTTATATACACTATACTTGTAGAATAATGTTAAACAATAGTGATTCCAGGAAACATGTTATGTTTTAATTAAAATGCTTCTTTTGAATTAGCTTTTGATTATAGTTTCCAGGTAGATTTTTTTTCTAACATGAAGTTAAGGATATGAACTGTCTAAACCTCTGAGAGTCAAAACTTAACATGACTCCTTTGTTTTTCCAGATCTTCTTTCACTTATATAGTGGAAGATATTTGAATTTTCCTTCTCTGGTAGATTTCCTCAGAAGTTCTGACTTACACAGGTTATATTGTTTTGGGGTTTTAAAAATCATTTTATTAGGGGTTCATACAACTCTTATCACAATCCATACATACATCAATTGTGTAAAGCACATTTGTACATTCATTGACCTCATCATTCTCAAAACATTTGCTCTCCACTTAAGCCCCTGGCATCAGCTCCTTATTTTCCCCCGCCCTCCTCACTCTTCCCGCCCCCCCATGAACCCTAGATAATTTATAAATTATTTTGTCATATCTTGCACTGTCTGACACCTCCCTTCACCCATTTTTCTATTGTCCATCCCCAGGGAGGAGGTCATATGTCCTTGTAATCAGTTCCCCCTTTCCACCCCACCCTCCCTCCACTCTCCCGGTATTGCCACTCCCACAGCACTGGTCCTGAAGGGATCATCCGACCTGGATTCCTTGTTTCCAGTTGCTATCTGTACCAGTGCCCATCCTCTGGTCTAGCCAGATTTGTAAGGTAGAATTGGGATCATGATAGTGGGGGAGTAGGAAGCATTTAGGAACTAGGGGAAAGTTGTATGTTTCATCATAGCTACACTGCACTCCTCTCTGCGACCCTTTCGTAAGGGGATGTCCAATTGCCTACAGATGGGCTTTGGGTCTCCACTCCGCATTCCCCCTCATTCACAATATGATTTTTTGATCTGATGATACCTGATACCTTCAACACCTCGTGATCGCACAGACTGGGGTGCTTCTTCCATGTGGGCTTTGTTGCTTTTGAGCTAGATGGGCACTTGTTTACCTTCAAGCATTTAAGACCCCAGATGCTATATCTTTTGATAGCTGGACACCAACAGCTTTCTTCACCACATTTGCTTATGCACCCGCTTTGTCTTCAGTGATTGTGTTGGGAAGGTCAGTATCATGGAATGCTAGTTTAATAGAACAAAGTATTCTTGCATTGAGGGAGTACTTGGGTGGAGGCCCAATGTCCATCTGCTACCTTAATACTAAATCTATACATATATGCACATAGATCTATTTCCACATCCTCATATATAAATATATTTACATATGTACATGCCTTTATTTAGACCTCTATACATGTACTTTACCTCTTAGCTCTTTTTTTCTATTTCCTTTTACTTTCCTCTTGTCCCACTATCATGTTCAGCCTTCATTAGGGCTTCAGTAATTCCTCTCGGCTACATTACCCTTGGTCACCCTTGGCTACATTACCTACCAGGCCTCCTACATGCTCCTCACCACCGATTTGGATCACTTGTTGTTCCCTTGTCCCTGGGTTTGTGTTAATACCACTTCCTTTCCCCCCACCTCCCCCTCTCCCATGTCCCATCGGTCCTGTTGTTTTCTCCTCCAGATTGTTCATCCATTTAGACAGACCTGCAGAGATAATAACATGCACTAAAACAAGACATAGCAAAACCAAGCAACAAAATAAAAAAAAACTAAAACAAGCCAATGACAAAAAAACAAAACAAAACACAACAAGAAGAAAGAAAAGCTTGTAGTTAGTTCAAGGACTGTTTGTTGGCCTTTAGGAGTGTTTTCCAGTTGAGTCTGTTGGGGCGCCAAGCCCTGGCCCCAAAGTCTATTTTTGGTATTCCCTGGGGACTTCATTGCTCTGCTCCCCTTGCTGTTCTGTTGCACGCCCTTAGTGTTTTGATTCGGTGTGGTGGGATCAGATCAGGCGGGATTCCCACACTGTGTCTCCTGTGTTGTCCCCTGTAGGGCTATGGATCAGTGAGGGGTGTCATGTCTCATAGTGGAGCCGGCCATGTGGTCTTCTCTGTGGATTGACTGCTCTGAGCGGGAATATTGTCCTCAAGGCTTGGTGGGCCAGGATGTGCTCCACTCTCTCTTTCTCCCCCTTCATTTGCTCCCATGTGCTCTGATCAGACATGTCCCTCTCCCAGAGCTACAGCCTCAGTGCTGTCCTCTGAAATATATTCTTGTTGGGGTAGGGGCAGGTGTCCACGTAGTTGGGATTGGGGTTGACCCCTCAGACCTCTCCACTGGTTCCCTACACCATGCCGGCATGTTGCATTCACATCTTGGAGCACTGGGTTGAAGTCTCGTCCCTTTTTCCCTGTGGAGATATAAAAAATACCCTCCCTTTGGGTGGGTTAGTACTCTGTGCCTCCGCTACCCATTTCATTTTTTTTTCCCTTTCCCTCCCTCCTTTTTAGTTGGCTACCATATGTATCCCTTGATTTGTCTGGCCCCTGCCATACTACCTGGACCTCACCCCAGGAATGTTTGTATACAGTAGCTTTTCCCTATGCCCATTTTGCATTTTTTTTAAAGCTTACCTCAGCGGACTCATGTTGTACTTGCCCTTTTGTGCTTGGCTTACTTTGCTTAGCATGATTTCCTCCAGTTCTTCCCATGCAGCGATGTGCTTCATACAGTCATCACTGCTCTTTAGGGATGTGTAGTACTCCATTGTATGTAAGTACCACAGTTTTTTAATCTACTCGTCAGTTGATAGAAATTTGGGTTGTTTCCAACTCCTTGCAATACACAGGGTTATATTGTATTGCGTTATTTTTTTCACTCAAAAAATTATTTTTAATTTTATCAGTTGGCTTTTGTATCTGTGATGATAATCATTTTATTTTTAGCCCTTTAACAACAATATAATAATGATAATTTTTTTTAAGCAGCCCACTTGAGTGGGACAATTTTCACTACTCAATTTAAAATTTTCTTTATAAATGTATCTTAAAAATCTCTTAAAAATGTGTATCTAGTTTTCTCTTTTACAGATATTGAACTTTAACATGGCATATCAAATTCCCTTATTTTCTTCATAGGCATGAGCACTTGTAAAATCTGTTATGTTACTATTTTATTGTGGAAAGTAACAAAACTTGCTATAACCATTATAAACACTTTCTTTTTTTAAAAGTAGTTTTCTAGTTAATAGAGTACGATAGATTTAAAGTTTTTTTGTTTTTTAACTGAAATATATTTTTAGTAAAAATTTTTAATAGAAATTATTTAATGTAATTATAGAAAACTACTAATACAGTCTTACTAATATAGTTTTACTGATATAGTCTTACAGTTAACTTTTGATCTGTTCCTTAATATTTTTATTTACGTGAATTCCCCTGCAAGTTCTATCATACTGGAGCAAAATGTTACCAAGGAAACAACTGTAAATTTTCTCATGATGATCTGACTAAAGAAACAAAGAAACTTTTGGACAAAGTGAGTAATATATTTGTACCTCCATTCTTAACTCCACAGATTTAACTTGAATCACTTACTTTCAGACATTAGTGGGTAATAACAACTTAGAATATTTTACAAAACCCTGCTGACAATTTGAGTTTGTTTTATTCTGTTAATATAGTGTGTTAGAAAAGTAAGCATAGGGAATTAGAAATGGTTTGTTCTGACCTCTGAAAATTGTTGAACCCTAAAATTGCATTTTAGCTCATTGACCTTGAGCAATACCCTTTACTGCTTGGAAACTCATTCTCTTTGTCAACTGTAAAGACTTAGGCTGTGTATGATCCTTTTCAACTTTGGTGGCTGTGTATGATCCTTTTCAACTTTGGTATTGCCTTTTGTTATTGGCAAAACTAGTTTACTAATACCTTCACTGTTTTAAATGTAAAGAAGAGAAGTTGACTTGAACCATTAATCTGTACCTACTACTTTTAGGTGTTGAATACTGATGAAGATCCCACAAATGAAGATGAGAGAGAATTAGAAGAACTTAGAAGACGTGGCATAGCTCCTCTTCCCAAGCCGCCTCCAGGAGTTGGGCTCCTGCCAACCCCTGCAGAACATTTTTCCTTTTCTGAACCTGAAGAGGATTTTCCAACAGATCTCTCTGATGATTTCAAGAAAATTCCATCTCTCTTTGAAATTGTTGTAAAACCTACTGTGGATTTAGCACACAAGATTGGGAAAAAGTAAGTTTAAGTTTTCAAAAGTGGTAGAGCTTTTTTTCCTAAAAAGACCCGTTTTAGAAATAACCTGTATTTCATGATCATATAGCAAAACTCAGGTAAAGAGAGCAGACATCTGGCTTGTCCACAGAGTCTTGCTTCCCCCTTGTCCCCATATTCTACTGACTGACCTAAGTGCTTTGCTTTTTTCTCTGGAATCCTTACAGAGTTTCAGAAACCTCTCGCTCAAGTAAGTAATCCTGAAGGCCATTAGCAGGTGGGTGGGATGCTCATACTTGCCAGCTGATCTAATTTTTTCTAGTAGTGAGTTAATATACCTCCAGCCTCTCACATTTTTTTTAACAAATCATTTTATTGAGGGCCATTACAGCTCTTATAACAATCCATAAATCAATTGTATCACACATATGTGTAAATATGTTGTCATCATCATTTTCAAAACATTTTCTTTGTACTTGAGCCCTTGGTATCAGCTCCTCATCACCCCCCCTCATGAACCCTTGATAAATGATAAATAATTGTTTTTATATCTTACACTGTCCTCTGACTCCCTTCACCTATGTTTCTGTTGTTTGTTCCCCGGGGCAACGGTAGGGGGTGTTATATGTTGATCATTGCAATCGGTTCTCTATTCCTATCACATTTATGAAAGAGAAGTGTTTCCTCAGGCTTTTGGAATAAGAGTTCTGGGTAAGTTGTCCTGATCTAGATTAGCATTTTCTAACAAAACCATTCCATTTCTTCAGCCCGCCCAGCAAGGTCTGCAGTTTTGCATAATATACACTGTTGACTTTTTTTTTTTTTTTTACTTTTTAAAAAATCTTGCTCAGGGAAGAAGTACTGGGTCTCAGCAAAAGAGAAACAAGAAATTTACAGCAATTTCACAATTAAGTAAAGCATCAAAAAGAAATCAAGAAGATAAGGATATCCACTATTTTGTTAATAGTGTTTATTAGATACTAATCAATGCAATGAAAGATACAAAAAATATAAAGATTTTCTAAATTTGAGAGGCTGACTCATTGTCAGTTTCCTCCAGTAAATCCAAAAATAACAAATGACAAAACTATTAGAAATAATTGAGGAACACTGAGCTGCCTGCCGCCTTTTGATACTTTCAAAAAGAATGTATTCCCTGTTATTTATACACACACACACACACACACAGTACAAAAAAAAAAACAAAAAAGGCTCTACTGGGTGGAGCTTTCATAGTATGCATTTTTCCCATAGGGCGAGCATCAAACAATTCATTCTGAGTTGGTGCACCCAGTAGTGTTGCTGGGGAAGTGAATTTTTTCATGCAAGCAGTTTTATGCAAGCCTCGTTTTTTGTGATGGCTGATTTAAGAGAACACCATGTGGCTGTGAAATTTTGTTTCCTACTTGGGGTGAGGAGCAGGAAATGCCACAGAAACTGTTGTGATGTTGAACACAGTTTACAAGGACAGCACTATGGAAAAAACTAAAGCGTATGAGTGGCTTTACTGTTTCAAAAAAGGTGTAATGTTAATTGATGACAAACCTCATTCTGGACGTCGGTTAACTTCTTGAACAGACAAAAATGTTGACAAAATTCTTGTACTTTTGCTCGAAGACCAATGACAGACCATTGAAGCGATGAGGAAATTATCTGGACTATCTTGGAGCTCAGTTCAACAAATTTTAACAGAAGATTTGAGAATGAAAAGAGTCGCTGCAAAATTTGCACCTCGGGTTTTTACTAACCAGGAATAAGAGCATCGAGTAGAAACATGCTGTGCTTTGAAAGAACAGCTTCAAAGAGACCCAGACTTTTTTCCCAAGGTCATTACTGGTGATTCTTCAGACACCAAAACCAAGCATCAGTCAAGCCTGTGGAAGACGCCATCATCACCTCACCCAAAAAAACTTGTCAAATGAAATAAAAGATCAAGACGATGCTCATTTGTGTTTTGATGTGAGGGGATAGTGCATTTGGAGATCGTTCCCCCAAGTCAGACTATTAAGCAAGCTTTGTATTTAGAGGTTATGAAAAGATTGCCTAACAGTGTGTGACCAAAAAAATCACATCTGATTTGTGGCAAGTGGGGGACTGGTTTTGCCACCACGACAATGTACCTGCTCATTCAGCCATCTCAGTGCTCTTATTTGGGGCAAAAAACAGCATGCCTCTTGCTCCACTGTACCTGACCTTGCTCTGTGTGACTTCTTTTTGTTTCCGTGAATGAAGAGGGAGGGACATGAAAGGACAGCGATTTAACAACATAGAAGAGGTGAAGAAAAAAAACAAGAGGGGTTCTGTCAGCCATCCAAACGGATGAATTTGAAAAATGTTTCCATGAATGGAATCGCCGATTTGACAAATGTGTAATGGAGAGTACTTTGAAGGTGAATTTTGGGTGTGGTTTTTTTTGGTATGCTGTGTATATTGAGAGACAGGGCTAAATAGAGCGAGCTAAGTGACCTGATGAGCAGTATCTGCTCTCAGGTCGTCCACTTTCTCTCTGTTCATCGCTACCCAGCTGGCCCCCGAAGCAGCTCAGTCTCCAGAGGACACACTGGGTAAGGGGAGCCTCACTTGAGAAAATTCAAGGTATCTTCACCTTATCTTCACCTTCCTTTATAGTTGGTTCTCTTATGTGACCCCATTTTTTCTCTTCTGAATTTATTTTTTCTTCCCATTCTCTTTGTTAAAATACCCCTAAAAAAATTTTTTTAAAGAAACAAACTCTTACTTCTTCACTTTTCATTCCTAAATTCCCCATTCCCCATTTTGCCATTGAAAACAAATCATTTAAAGACCATCCCATCCGACGACAGTAAACATCCCAGCACAGGAATTTCCGAGCCAGACCGCCCTTCTCTGCGCAGGTTCCAGGCCCAGCAAGAGGGACGCAAGTGCAGATCCAGTCTATGAAGGTGAACCAGCCGCTCTGGGTGAACCACTACCATGTCCAGTACTCAATGGGCAGCACCTGGACACGCACCACCAGGCCTCGGCCACGCCTGCATGGGCCTGGCGCAGTACCCTTTGCCAGATGAGGTGATGTACTTTTTAACATCCACGACCAAGCCAACCATGTCCCGTCCTGCTATGGAAACTCAGTGAGGGCTGCCGTGCAGTAGTACTATCCGGCCCACCATGGGAGGCAGGTGTGCAGCCCTCTGCTGCTGCATGGATTCCTGCCCTGGTTGGATGGCAGCAGAGCCCTGGGCAGCCACCACAGCGCTTTACCCTGGAACCTTGTCACCTTATCCAAGACATGCATCCATCATGGCTCCCCGGGCCTCCTCTCAATCTATCTCCCCTAACCCCCGCCTCCTCTTCCTTCATGTCAGCAGTCTGTTCCAGCCCATCTCTTCACATTCCCACCCATTCCGGACCTGTCCCTTTCCACACCGACTCTGCCCACCAGGATAAGAAGGAGTGCATCAAGTACCAGGTGTCCCTGCTGGACAGCATAAAGCTTGAGTCCCTGCATTCCTGAGACTGCATGACTACCTTGGAGAGGCCTCCTCCTTAGCCCTATGTTCCCGAATTTAGGTCCGGACTCTTCCCTCCCAGCAGCCTGCTAGGAGGCTTGTCTACCTGCTTTGGATTCAAGTTGAGTCCCAAGGCAAGATCCAGCACCAGCAGGGAGTGTGTAAACTGCAGGGCAACCGACGACAACAGTAAACCTCCCACCACAGCAACTTCCCAGCCGGATCACCCTTCTCTGCGCAGGTTCCGGGGAGAGAGATGGGACGGAACACCGCATTTGCAATGCCTGCGGGCTCTGCCACAAAATGAATGAGCAGAACTGACCCCTCATTAAGCCTAAGGAAAGGCTGTAGGCCTCTGGAGGAGGAATGCCAATGGAGACCTGTCTGCAACGCCTGTGGGCACAGTATTAATAGACTTCTGACTATGAAGAAGGAAGGAATCCAGAAACTGAAAAATGTCTAGCAAGTCCAAGGTTCATGACCCACTAGAGGACTGACCCAAGAACAGCTCTTCTAACCCCGCTGCCCTCTCCAGACACGTGTCTCCCTCAGCCACATGCTGACCATACCTACACCGATGCACCGAGCGTCCAGCCTCTCCTTTGGACCTCACCATCCTCCCATGATGGTCACTGCCATGGGTTAGATTCCCAGCTTGATGCTTAAAGGTCTCCAAGCAAGAGTCCCTCCAGCCTTTTATACTTGCATTTTTGCTAGAGTAGTATCATGATGCCTAAAACTGATGGATATGTTTGTAAAGGCAGAAAGCAAAATGATCTTTGCCATGTTTGAAAAGGAGGTCACTGTGGTGTCTGTTTTCTCAGCCACTGAATCTGGACCCCATTTGTGAACAAGCCATTCAGACTCCTATTCCCTATTTACCAGGGTCTCTAGTACTCTGTGTGTGTGTGTGTGTGTGTGTGTGTGGTGGGGGGGGGGGGTTGAACATAAAAGAAATCCTGTACATTTGAGGAAGACTTTATTGCACCTGGGTAGTTGTAAGAAAGGCATGAAGGACACCAAGAACTTCAAGGCTATGGGGGGAATAAAGTGTGGAAATTAAAAAGAAACTAGGTCTAATATCTAAATGAACAAACTTCCAGTCTTGTTTCCTTTCATTGGCCACAGTTGTTTGCTGCATTAAAAGAAAAGAGGGCAAAAAGTCATAGGCAAATTATTCATCCAAAGCTGTGGGCCTCTGCCTTAAAATAAACCATCAGTTCCAGGGGTTCACTTGGCCTTTTCTCAAACCTACATGCTTTGTCAACAAGTCCCTGTAATTGTTGTTTGTATGTATAATTAAAAGCACCAAAATAAGATGTCGATTTATTTCTTCATCTCATACGGACCCAATTGTTGTACACATTTATTTACTATTACATAAAAACGACTTTAAATTTACTATTAAGAATGGCTTTTATTAGTTTTTCTCATTTTAATATTTTTCTTCCCTCAATTTTTGGGTTTAATAATAATAAGCTGGATTACATTCAGTTGACTTAAAAATTGTAATATACAGGTAAGAGCTGGAAACACAGGGAATACAGGACAAACTCCTCGGGACCAATATTGAGGGTAAGGAGAAGGTGGGGGGAGAAAGGGGAAACCTATCACAATGACCTACCTGTAACCCCCTCCCAGGGGGATGGACAACAGACAAGGGAGCATCAGACAGTGCAAGACATAAAAAATAATTTATCAATTATCAAGGGTTCATGAGGGAGGGAGGGGGGAAAATGAGCTGATACCAAGGGCTCAAGTAGAAAGAAAATGCTTTGAAAACGATGATGGCAATTTTGAGAATGATGAGGGCAATGAATGTATAAGTGTCCTTTACACAATTGATGTAAGGATTGTGATAAGAGTTGTATGAGCCCCAATATGATTTTTTTTAAAAGCGATGATGGCAACATGTACAAATGTGCTTGACATAAGGATGGATGTATGGATTGTGATGAGTTGTACGAGCCTCCAATAAAATGACTTAAAAAAAAGATTTACAAACACAGAAAATAATAATAATAGAGCTAGCAAGATGTCCAGGAAAAAGAGCATCCACAAACTAAAAACCTTTTTGTGCGCCAACACTAATCCCTTTGAAATTGTAAAAGAAGAGTTGCATATTTTTCTAAGTCAGTTGCAGTTCACTTGATCCCTGTTAGGCATAGCACCCCCTGTGGCTCAGAGGAGAACTGTGCACTATGGTGTTCTCCATGGCTGATTTTTGGAATTAGAACTGCAGACCTTTCTTCCATGGTACCTCCAGGTCCTAGGTACCCAAAGTTGGCTGCTCATGAGGATCACCTGGACTCTGTTTGCAACTTAACCACAATCTCTAGGGATAAGAGCCCTGGGAACTATAGTTCCACCACATCCCCAGGTGGTTCCAGTGATCTTTGAGAACTAGCCTCTAGGTAGACTTGAACTGCCAGCCTTTCGGTTAGTAATAGAGTGTAAAAGTATTTATATAATAGTGCCCTCATTTTCTTATTCAAGTCTGCATTCTAGAAAAATGACTCCAAGAGTACCAATTCACAAAATATGTCTGTAGGTGGTGGAATCAGAGGTGACTCTTATTTTTCATTATACTCATGTATTTTCCACAATATAATAAGTAAGAGTAAACAGCAATTAAGACAATTGTGGGCTAAAATGAAGACAAGGCCCATGTGCATGTTTCCATCTGTTGAAGATGTAAAATAAATTGCTTCTTATAAACATAGTATTCTGTTCTAATTCAGAAAAAGTATTTAACCAATATCTATCAATGCAACATTCTTTAAAAAATTTTTTTTCTTTGAACTAAGAAATATTCTTTCTGTCTACAGGCCACCAGCATTTTATAACAGTGCCTCACCACCAGGATCACAATTTCAGGGAAGCAGCCCACACCATCAGCATATCTACAGTTCTGGGTCCAGTCCAGGTCCTATACCTACTATGTCTCAGGGATGCAGTAGTCCTGTGATGCACCCAGGCTCCCCTGGCCATCACCCTTGTGCAGGACCTCCTGGTCTACCAATGCCACCAAGCCCACCTTTGCCACCTGGTCCACCTGGAGGTGTAGGCACACACAGCCAATCTGGAGTACTTGTTCAACCAGACCCACCTTTGACACCACCGAGTATGAGTGGTGCTTACCACTGCGCAGCCTTTCAAGGACACATGATGAGTGCCCCTCGAGAGAACCACTCTCCTCCAGGTTCATCACATCAGCACAGCCCTAGTGAAATGCAACTCAACACCAGTTATGAGTCCCTACAAAACCCAGCTGAGTTTTATGATAATTACTACTCACATCACGCCATCCAAAACTTCCAGCTTCCCAATAGCTCCAGTGGTAAGTTTCACACTTTAAAATAATTCATTTCTAACCTAAAATCAAATTGAAACTCTTACTTTTGACAAAAGTATGGTAAAGATGTATATTTTGAACCATTGTTTCCCAAAGTGGTGCTACAGTAAGGTGACCAGATTTTAACAATGGTAAAGCGGGACACCATTGATAAAACTCATATCCTGGCGAAATAGCCATATGGCAGCTGAAAACCATATACCTTAGCTTGTCGTGCATTCTTTCCAAAAATCGGGACTTTTTAAAGACGCCGTGGGACGCAGGAAAAATTGTTAAAAATCGGGACGTCTGGTCGCCTTATGCTACAGCCCCTTGAGGGATGCTACAGTGACCCAGAAGCTTACAAAAGCAGACTTTATCCTGGATTATGGGTATGGTACAAACATTTTCATAGCCAGAGGGGTGCTACGGAATATTTTTTCTGAAAAGGCAGTAGGCCAAATAAATAAAACTAAGTAAAATGTGACAAAGTTAAACCTTCAAATAGGTTTTCAATTTAACCAAACATGTGAAATCATAGAATTTTTATAATTTTTTAAAGATATATAGAATGTAAAGACACCCCACCACCACCATTCCATAACCTTGGGATAACAGTCATCTGCTGCTTCTCCTTGAAGTCCAAGGGAGTAGGTCATTTTCCTTAAATCTGCTACAGGTGAGTTTGAGGTCAAGCCCTGTTTGCTTAGATTTTCAACATCAAATCTTTGTGGTGTGGCCCTATGAAGGATGTTGTGAGTGAGGCTGTAAATCTTCATGGCTGCAGAACGCCTCATCTTTCTTCTGTGAGTGGCTAGTGGTTTTGAGCTGCAGACCTTGTAGTTAGCAGCCCAATGTGTAATCCACTAGGGCTCCTATGAGTCAGAACGGACTCGATAGCAATACATTTGGTTTCGAGTGCTAAGGAGCTCCTGGTGTAGTGGATTACAGCAGTTCACTCTCACCTGCCACTCCGCAGGAGAAAATACTCCCATAAGCCTCAGAAACCCTATATAGGGCCACTATGAGTGGAAGTCAACTCAGTGGCAGTGGGCTGAGCAGTGCTAAAAAGCCTTGGTGACACTTCCTGCAAGGTCAGTGGTTCAAACCCATTAGCCCCGCTTCAGAAGACAGATGTAACTGTCTGCTCCCATAACATATTTACAGTCTCAGTCGCCGAGTCAGTATTGACTTGATGGCAAGACATTTGGGTGGTAGTGGGTGGTGGGTGGGTGTGTAGTGCTAAATCAAGGAGCCATGGTGTGCTGAATGTGCGGTGGTTAAGTACTCAGTTGCTAACTAAAAGGTCAGTGGTTCAAACCCCCTAGCTGCTCTGCAGCAGAAAAAGTAGCAATCTGCTCTCAAGAGTACAGCCTTTTGGTACAGATAGGAACTGAAAATACAGGGAATCCAGTATGGATGAGCCCTATAGGACCAGTGGTGTGAGTGACAAAACAGGGAGGGTAAAGGGAGAATGGGTAGGAAAGAGGGAACCGATTACATGGAACTGTGTGTGACCTCCTCCCTGGGGGACAGACAACCGAAAAGTGGGTGAAGGGAGACGTCGGACAGGGCAAGATATGACAAAATACCCATTTATAAACTATCAAGGGCTCATGCGGGAGGGGGGAGCGGGGAGGGAGGGGAAAAATGAGGACCTAATGTCGGGGGTTTAAATGGAGAGAAAATGTTTTGAGAAACGATGTACAAATGCGCTTTACACAATTGATGTGTGTATGGATTGGGATAACAGTTGTATGAGCCCCTAATAAAATGTTAAAAAAAAAAAAAAGAGTACAGCCTTTGAAATCCCATGGGGCAGTTCTTTTTTGTCACAAAGGGTCACTATGAGTTAGAATCAATGCCACAACAATCGTTTTTATTTTGTTTTGTTTTAATGCTAAATTGGCATCTCTCTCTTTTTGTGTTAACGATCTAGAAGAGATGTGGCCTGGTGAATTTGTTCAGCATCAGCCTCCCACTGCTCAAGACCCACATAACCACGGGAGTGGGTCTGACGGCAGCAGTGCAACAGTCCAAAGCTCTTTGACCGCGCCAAGTCTCTTCCCTGCCGTGCAGAGAGCACTTTTTGTGAGACTTACTCAGAAATACCAAGAAGATGAAGAACCAACCAACTCCGAACCGCACTGGGCACCAAGCAGGGAAGAAGGTATGGCAGGTGTTATGTTAGCATTTTGCCTATTTGGATTACTTAGGTCCAAATAGTCTTGAATAAGTTAAAATAGTACAAATGCGTTCCTCTGAACTCTTTTTCCATTTTAGTTTGCAGTCCCTATCTCCTTGCCATTAATTATGGTTCCCATTTCCACTAATGTGTTAATAAATAATTGCAAAAGGCTTGGCTTGAAGCAGTGATTAGATCCAAAGCTGAACTGTTAGGTCTGGACCAGCAGACTTGCTATTGAATACCTTCATCTTTCTAGAAAGAAAAGACATGGAACCAGAACATAACACCGTCCAATAAGGGGTTATGGACTTCTAGCCCAAGTTCAAAATGCTTCAGTTATTACAGGAAAGTTTGTGAGCATACACTGTGGTCTTAAGGTTCTGTATTAGTTAGATGCTTGGGAGCTTCAGAATGCTCATGGAAAAATAGAATTAAGAGAGAATGGAATTATTATATTTTCCCATGAGCATTTAAAGCCCCCTCATTACTTTTAATATAAAAAAATATTTGGAGAGAATACAGTTTCTCTTTTTATATTACTGTGCTCATTTATAATTGATAACTTAATTGATTCATTAATTCAGATAAGCATGAGAAAAGTTTTAAGTAGCCAATTTTTTTTCTGAATTAAAAAATTGATGTGTTTGGCCACTCTTAGACATGAAACTTACCAACAACTAGGTAAAAACTAGATGAAACTAGTTGTTACCAAGTATTACATAAACATTTTCAAAGAAGGTAACATTAGCTCTTCATTTATCTAATATCTCAAAGAATGAGTTGTTCCTAGAAAGTGAATATCACTATTTAAATTTACTTTTTTAATTGCAAAAACTTAGAAAAAACATTTTATGGTAATTATAAACAGAGTTTTATGGTTTTATTTTTTATTATTATTTATTTATTTATTTTGATGGGACAGAATAAAGGTTTATTTTTATATTACAATGTCTTGCCTCAATGATTGAACAGTAAGGGGTAGGGGTAGGGGAGCGAGGAAGAGGACATTTTGAGACAGCATTTTACAGCACAAACTTCATAGAGAGCAGGGAAATGTGTCTTTCCATATTGTACTCAGTCCAGTAGAGCCCAGGCTTGGGCTGCTGCTCTTAACCCTCAGTCGAGGTTTCAGACTTGGCCGTGCAGCACGTTCTTCACAGCTCTGGTGACCTGATCAGCACTGAGGTTGTTCAAGGAGACATTCTTCTCTTGGCCAAATGCGTAGCGGGCCCAGAGCTTGGCTTGTACATCGGAGCACTCACGGATTAGGATGGGTAGGTCGGGATTCGTCTTCTTCAGCTCCACATACTTTTTCTCGATGAAGTCCCTAACGCCCTGGCTACTCGGCGAGCGCTGACATAAGTGGATGCGAACCTCCCGAAGTGCCAGATTTGCTTCAAGCAGCAGCGGCCGCCGCCATCATCTTCACACACACACAAGCTCTTTGCCCCGAGTTTTATGGTTTTATAAACTAAAACTTTTTTAGATGATAAACTTTATAACACAATAACATATTTCTGTGAGGGTTGTTCTGTATAGAGAAATAATGTGCATATATGTTTATCTTTATTAGAACTGGTAAGACTTATGAATTTCATCTCTTTTTTTAGATAATTTTATTGGGGGTTCTTAGAACTCTATACATCAATTGTATCTGACATATTAGTACATATATTACAATGTTCTTTTCTATACGTTTACTTTCCATTGAGCCCTTGGGATCAGCTCCTTTTCCCTCCCCTCCAACTCTCGTGGCCCCTTGATAGATTATAGATTGTTCTTTAGGTGAAAAGTTGTTAACTCTTATTTCCTGTGTAGAATTTGTTTTTCATTTGCTTATCTTTTCTCTTCTACTTTCCTTATGTTAATACATGCACTCTCCAGAAGGATTTAAGATTACTTATAAAATAGATTGGTGTGAAAAGGAAAATAAATGTAGAAGAATTTCTCTCTCCTATAGGGAGAGAAATTAGTATGCAGAAATATTTGAAATAACTGTATCAAGTAAAAAAGTAAATCACAAGCCTAGCTCTAAGCTTCGTAGACAGCAAACAGAAAAAAGAATTCCAGTTTCTAAAAGTAGCTTTTTAAGACTTTCTTGCATATGATATAGCATATGCTAATTAACCACACCCTTGCCTAAATATCAGTGCTTGATTTTTAAGCACTGCTCTGTTCAAGCACTTATATTGACGTTCTAGGTAGTGGAAACATTTGTGAGCAATGAAATGAGGTGAAAACGAAAATATGTAGGATATTCTACAGATAGAAAATGTTCTAGGGAACCACCCCACCCTCTGCCCCAGTCTGCCGCCTTTTCCTATGGCTGTATGTTCCGACAAGAATGCGAAGGGTAGATATTCACTCTGTGGTTCAATTTAGTGCAGACCTCTATGTGTTTTAATGGAGAAGTAGAATCATTCACCTGAAGCAGCTGCTTAACAATCCCTTCCTTCTACTCTCCTAGGGAAGACCCCTGGTAGCTAAATTTCTGAAACTTGTTGAACATAGTAGGGTATTAAATAAGCTGTAGGAATAACACCCAGCGTGTTCTCATAAAGTTGAAGCATATAAGTTTTAGGGCATTAGTTTCGTTATTGTTAAATTTTACATGTTTGAAAAGCTAAATATTCACTTGGGTCAAATATCAAAACATATAAGAAAGTATAAATGAAAGATTTCCATCCTTACCTCTTATTTGTTCAGTTTCCAACATTCCTTTCACCATCATTTTTAGTGTTTGTTTTTTTTCTTTCCAAAAATGCTTTTATATCTCATCCTCTTCCTGATCAATCCAGAGGTCTGGAGTTTTTAAGGGATTGCTTAAAGAGATCTAAATATTTTAGGATTCCTTTCCAAGAATCTTCAGTTTCTCCCTCAGTCCCTCCGTACATGCTCCCCTCACTTCTGAATTCTCTTCAGTGTTGCAGTGAGAAGGCCTGACTTTTCTCTGACTGGAAGGATGTCACACATACTTATGTGTCACACCTCTTCCTTCATACTATACAGTATAATAGTGGTCATGCCACATCTGAATGAACCGGCATCTCTATCATACATAGAGGACAGGATGGAATTGCCCTTTAGGGTCTCTTATGGTGCATCCTTACCAGAGCAGATGGCCAGGGCTTTTCTTCCACAGAGAGGGTGCCCACTTTTCACTTAGCAGCAGAGTGCTTCACCGTTGCACGACTGGAGCTCTTTCACTTGAAATTAGACTACACTTATTTCAGAAATAATGTGTTTTTTCCTTAAGGCCAGATATGAATACTTCATTCTTTATAATTAACTTTTAAGTGATACTTCATTCTTTATAATTAACTTTTTTATCTGCATTTAGATGATACTGTTAACTGGTATTCCAGCAGTGAAGAGGAAGAAGGGAGCAGCAGTGTCAAGTCCATACTGAAAACATTACAAAGACAAACAGAAACTTTAAGGAACCAGCAACAACCTCCCACCGAAGTCAGCACTCCTACTGATCCAAGACTTGCTAAAGAGAAAAGTAAAGTCCACCACGTGGCTGACCCTAGACTTAGGACTCTCCCAAGGCAAGGTGTTAGAAAACCTTCTGAGTCCGCTCCACTGGATCTCAGGCTTGCGTGGGATCCCAGGAAATTAAGAGGGAATGGAAGTGGTCATGGAAGCTCTTCTGTTGGTAGAAACAAGTGTGATGTACGGCATGCAAATGTTTGTGTCAAACCCAAAAAAGGAGATGATGATGAAAATGCAGAAAGAGAACTGAGAGAAAAGGCTGTCTTTATACCAATGGATTCTTCACCTGGGATAATTCTCCAGGATCCAAGGTCACAACTGAGACAGTTCAGTCACATTAAAATGGATATTATACTAACTAAGCCAAACTTTGCAAAGCACATCGTGTGGGCTCCAGAAGACTTACTGCCAGTACCTTTACCTAAACCTGATCCAGTATCTTCAATCAATTTACCTCTTCCCCCTCTTATAGCTGACCAGAGGCTCAATAGGTTATGGGACACAAAAAGTGATCTTCATCAAAACACAGTGCCCATTGATATGAAATTAGCAGCCAAAGCCAAAAATAACACACACAGAGAAGGCTACCTAGAACAATTTGGAGACTTACATAGTTCAGGAAGTAAATTAGGAGATCCCAGGCTTCAAAAAAATTTTGATCCTAGACTTCACAGATTGCCCAGTACCAACTCCCATCAGATGGTTACGAAGGAGTCACATACATCTAAGGGTATGTTCAGCAAGCAAGGGTGTCATTTAGCAAGACCCAACCCAGGTTCATCACAGCCTCCAGGGACAGTAAGTAGCAATTCTGGGTCTGCAGTTCTGCCTCCATATGCCCCTAAACTGTCATCTTCAGCTGGCCTTCCCCTGGGAACTTCAAGTTCGGTTCTAAGTAGTATTAGTTTGTATGATCCCCGGGAGCCTAGTTTATCATCTACATCAGAGGTAGCAACAGTCTCCTTAGGAGAAAATGCAGAAAACCAGAGAAAGAGTGGTGGTATAAAAAGTGGTGGCAAAAATGAGCTTTCTCCTCCAGAAGCAATCCTGCCACAAAAAACCACTTCAGATTTGGAAGCCATGAGTGATGGGCCAGCTGGCCCCCAGGCAGAGATTGTCAGGAGTTCTGGTAAGGTTCAGGCCCCAGCAGTGCATAGTCTTCCCATCCCAGCATTAACAGGCTTAATTAGAGCCCCGTACAGCGATCCAAGGCAGGCCCGGCAGCAGGGACAGGTGAGCCCAACTCTAGCTCATGATCCCAATAAAGAAGCAGATGACAAATCTCTGAAAGAGGTTTTCAAAACGTTTGACCCAACTGCTTCCCCATTTTGTTAGCAATTGTATTACTGAGCAATTCTTTTCACTCTAGTGAGGATTACAGCCCTCTGCTGTTTTGTAACTGGTTTACCTCTATAGTTTATTTATTTTTAAATTATAAGCACTTTTCAGCTGCTCATATTAGAACCACCTGAAGTTATATCCCCTAAAGCCTGTGGTATTTTATATAATATTTTTGTAACTTTAAGAAGTAGTAATCGACATAGAATCTTATAAATCATGTTAGCGTCAATAAAATATATTGATTGTAAATAAAGCATCATGAACTCAACATTCTGCCTGGGCATATGCCAGTCGTCTTTCATAATCAATGGCTAGATTTAAAAATGACCACTTTTATATGGTTTAGTTCCAAGCAATATGATGTACATTACTTTTGAGAACCAGTATTTTGACTAGGATTCTATTTGTCAGCACAGAACTGATTAATATATAATGTTAGCTGCTAATTGAAATATAAAACGAACTAAAGAAATCATCTTAAAATCATGGTTAACAGAACTTCTTGGTAAAGGCGTCACTTTTAGTATTGGCAATATTATTTGTGTAAATAAAGCATTTGAATGTCATAACTTTTTAAAAGTATTTTATTGTAATCTGTATAAAAGAAGTTGAAAGCATATAAATAGATTGTTTTGCTAAAGTGAAAAACTCCCCAGTTCTCTAACATTAATTTAATTTTTCATATTAATGAGTTTATGTTGTGTTACATTGTGATATTTATGTATTTCAATGTATTTTTATCATTAGCATAGTTTATATTAACTTTTTCAAATAATGTAGCTACAATAATTGTATTCATCATGACTTTGGCAAATTTTAACAAAATTTTAAAAGATCCAGTGAGAGTGTAGTGATTATTACATTGAAGGTATTTTAAATGTCCAAGTAGCATCTTTTTACTTAGATAGCAAGAAAGCGCCAAGGTTGCTGGCACGGTCAGCTGTGTATGACTCCCAATAAAGACTCTTCAGACCTCCCTCAACTGGCATTCTGTAACGGAGACCGCCTGGCGTTTGAAGTATGTAATGTCTTTGGAGTTTGTTATTTGCCTAACTTGATTGGAAGTTGTTTTTTGTGTGTGAAAAAAATAACTTGTATTGGTCCTTGTGTATTTGTTGTATATAGTGACATTCCTATTTGTACATCTATTATCTATCACTGAAGCTAAATATGATACTGATACTCAGACTTCAAACTGAATCTACACTTCAGACATGACTGCTAGTAACTCCTCCAATAGGAAACTTTACAGCAGGGGGCCAGTTCACTGTCCCGCAGACCCGTTGGAGGGCCGGACTGTAGTTTAAAAACAAACAAACTATGAACTAATTCCTATGCACACTGCACATATTTTGAAGTATAAAAAACAAAACGGGGCAAAAACACCCGGCAGGCCTGATAAATGTCCTCAGCAGGCCGCAGTTTGAGGACGCCTGCTTTAAAAGGAGAATAACATTATGGAAGATAATGGAAGTAGAGAAAGATTGAGATTTTAAGTTTAATCAGTTCTTAACTGAAAACTCTTGAGGAAAAAAAAAACTCGAGATTGTAAAAACTCAGCAAAATATATTTTTGTGAGAACCTCTTAATAGCATGGTTAATAAGAGAATATGAAAGAAGTACATGTCCTCGCTATTCATCTCTTTCTCTTCCTGCCCCAATCAGGTGCTAAGATAAGGTGTAGCTAAGAGAGCAGAAACCTCTCCCTACCCAGAAGAGGTGCTTTGTTAAGGAGTGATAGTCAAGGGAATATGATTTCCTTATCTTCATACTGTGACTACATTGTCCAAAATGGCCCTCGATGGCATTTTGGGCTTAAAAATGCAGTTTATATGCCAACATAAGAAGTATTTTCAAGTTTACTGGCAGAAAAAACAATTTAAAAGTCAAAATATGGATAAAAGTGTGATGGGGGTGGGGTGGGGGTGGGCAGCGGGGTTGGGGAAGGAGACCCATAAATATGCTTTGTATTCCAAAGTATAATTTATTCTTTTACCAAGATAAAGTCAGCAAAGTCGAATTTAGAAAATTTTAAGAAATCTTTATTCTTATACTTTGTAAGCGTTTCTGTTAGGTAAGGTAATGCAGTCTATATGTTAAATACCATACAAGAGAGGATACTTTTATATGGAATTCCAACTCTCAGATGTTTTTTCTACTTAGAGACTTTAGAGGATTAAAAGTAAGGTGTGCAAGTCATTAATGAAGATTATATGATGTGCATGTATTCACTATTCTTGAGCCACTATTACATCAGCAATTGCCCTTGGTTTCAAAGTTTGGACTTACTTTCCAATTTAATACATTGAAACCGTTGAAAATGGTTTAGGTTTAAAATAAAGATTGTTACAAATGGTTGTTTTTATTGAGCCAAATCTAGAGAATACTCACATCCTGTCATCAAATTATTTTAATGTTCCTTTTTCCTATTGTCTCACCAAAATTGAGTAACCACTACCCTAAGGTGAGTGCTTTTTAAAGGTAAGTTGGTGTTTTTAGAATTTGTGTATTTTATGCCAGTAAAAGTGAATTATGTTCTTATTCTTAGAGGTCAGACATTTTTAGCTAGTACAATTAACTATTATCTTAAAAGTTGGACTTAACTGAGATGTAATTACTCATACTGGTTTATGACAGAAGTTTTATATCCATACACATTGTTGAATAGTGGGGGATATATATGTCAGTGAATTTGATTATACCTAGATGACTAGAATTTAGATTTAACAACTATTTTTCCATATTTTGCTTAGCTTTTGCTCCAAACTCCTGTCTCTGGAGTTTCCCGATTAGGACCTCTTCTGAACTTGAAAATGAATTGGCTGTTGGGGTGATTATAGAAGCTGCCCTGGCAACAGGAGCTGTTTCTGTAGATCCTGTGTCTACTCAGCTGTTTTCCAGATGCTAGAATCACTCTGCAACCAAGGCAGCCCAATTACAAAGTGATGTTTGCTTTGGTTTGTATTTTACCAAAATCAAACCTTGCCTTTTGTTATCAAGCTAATTCCAACTCGTGGTGACCTTGTGCTAGAGTTGAGCTGTCCTGTAAAGTTTTCTGGGCTGACATTTTTCGGGAGCAAGTGGTCGGGGTGTGTTGGTGTTTGTGGTGCCACTGGGTAGGCTTGAACTACCTACTTGTAGTTGAGTGTGGCCAGTACAATCCATTCGCACCACCCTTTAACTTGCCCTGGTACCTTGGGAAGTGCTTCTTGCTGCTGCTTACTGTAGGAGTGGAAGAACAATGAAAAGTGAAATTAAAAAATAAAAAGCCAGTATTGAGCTGTCATCTACACCACATGCTAAATTAGAGATGGAAGAAAGAACTTAAGAGGTCTGGAAGTTTAAATGTAATCAATTCATAGCGTTCCAAGTTTATTGCTAACTTTTCAGCTAACTGGCTAGTTCTTTTTCTTTGACCTGTTAGAAATGATTTGACTGTTCACACGTTAGATGTAAGGAGTGGTAAATGATTGTTACAAAGTATTTTGACTAGGAAAAATCTCTATGAGTTTTGTGAGACGACCTGTGACGCGGCCATGGGAATTCATCGTTGTTGTTGGGTGGTGACAGGCCGGTCCTGACTCGGTGCACAGCAGCATGAATCACTGCACGGTCAGCCTGCACCGTCCCCACAACCGCTGCTGTGCCGGAGCTGACTGCTGCACCCACTGTGATAATCCATTTCATTAAGAGTCTCCCACTCTTGTGCTGACCGTTTCCACGTTTTCCAGGAATTGGTCCCTCCTGGTAGCATGTCCACAGGACCTGGGAAGGAGTCTTGACATTCTTGCTTGTATTACTCTGGCAGTACTTCTCAGACAGATTGGTTCATTTTTCTGGCAGTTCATGATATGTTTAATATCCTTCACCCACACCAAAGCCAAAGGCAATCATTCTTTGTTTTTTCTTAAGTTGCATAAGTTGTATAGATTTAAAAAACACTTTGTGGTATTCACCAATTTTTATAACATTTCAGATGGTGGCCACTGAGGACACAATAGAGTGAGAAGTTTGAGAGACTATTAGCCCATCAAATTAACAACTTTAAATAATTTATCAGAAAAACACATGCTTTCCCTGTTTTAGAGCTATATAGACTTGTGTCTGTACTAGATTTGACCCATGTATCCATTTCATACTGGCTAGATATTGATGGAGGATTTAAAATGCTAAAAGAGTTAATGTTGCATGGTGTGCTTGCTTAAATAACAGCATGTTGGCAAAATAGCTATCAGTTTTTGGAAGCAACAGGTATATTTTCTCCTGTTCCTTACTGTTTACCCTGTAGGCATGTGACAGTCATTTCTGAGTGATCACTTGCTTAATAAATGTATCATTTCCTTTGGTTAAGGTCAACAGGACATATTAGTTTCCTAGAAGTTTGTAAGTTCTTGGGGATCTAAATGAGTCTTGGTGTGGCCATCCAAATCTTCTATTTGCATGACACAGAGCCTTAGAGTCAAGAGATGCTTCCCTCAGCTGATGGCTTCTGTGCTGATGGCTGTACCTGAGAGGAGTGGTCTACAGTCAAGCAGTCTATAAATCCCCCCGCCACCTCAAAAATCGTAGTTTCTGTGAATTTCTATATGAAGAACTGAAATTAGCTTTTCACATATAGTTTGAAAGCACTTGATATAAGGTTTGTTTTAAGAACTCATGCTCTTAGAAAATGTAACAAACAAGGCTTTAGTGCTTAAAGCTGTTCCCACAGTGTGTTATGATTTAGTATTTATGTAATGCCTTTACCCCACATACCTTAATGTGATTTGCAGAACTAGTTTTAGTGGGTACCAATCCTATATTGCTGGAGTTTCTTGTTTGAGTATGCTGCCATCAGTAATACCTCTTTTATAACAAAAGTCCAAAAGAGCCTACCTTTCTTAGGAGGAATACAGACTTAGCAAAGGACCATAATAGGTTGACTTCGATCTAGTATTTGTAACTTCTGATTTTTAAATAAGTAAGCACATTGTAAATAGTATTTTGTGCTTTGGGAGACAATACTTCCCCATAGAAACAAGCCCAACCCTGGGTACGCAGTGAGTGCTGAACTGCTTGTTTGTAGTTTTCTCACATACATCTGAATACAGGTTTTCCTGTGCTGTCCACTATTAAACAGATGTAGTAGAGCCAATCCATGATTGTACTGTTAAGTGTGCAACTTATTAATTTTACCTCTTTCTGTAGCCGAAAGACACCCCCCCACACACCCCCACCAAGCAAGGTAAGGATCTTTATTTAGGAATCAAGCTCTTCTACAATAATTCATAACTGTTAGAGTCCTCCAGACTTCTAAGATTACTTACTCTGTGGTGGAAGTTTGATAGATCACTCTAACCTATTCCTGCAGATCTATAAAGTATTCTTACTGTCACCAGAAAAGGAATACATAACCAGTCTTGTATTTTATTTTTAAACATATTTTCTCTAATTTTCCCTTCCTGTTCTACTAAAAATTATCAGCCAGCCTTATGACGATAAAGAGGCTTAGCAAAACCTAGGAGTTAGCAATGGCGTTTAAAATTCCTTTTATCCTGACACCAGGAATACATGCTTTCAAGTCACAGTTGGACTGTTTTGTGTCTGATCTTTAAATACTTTTTGTTAGAGCAGTCATGTGCTTCCATTATCAACATCACACGTGAGCATAAAAAAGATGTTTCTTAACTGAATGAAATTGTGAGTTCTTAGGATGATAGTTTATAGTGTTATTGAATCTGATGCCAGGGGCTTAGGTGGAGAGCAAATGTTTTGAGAATGATGCAGGCAATGAATGTACAAATGTGCTTTACACAATTGATGTATGTATGGATTGTGATAAGAGTTGTATGAGCCCCTAACAAAATGATAAAAAAGGACAATGGAGACAAAAAATGAATATGGAACTTATTATAGCACTTTAGAAAAGATCAGCTCTGTGAATTATCAGGCCCATACTTCCTGGCTCAGCACTCTACTGACAATCTATGGTAATATACTGACTGAGAGGAGAGGTGATACTTGTGTTATTAGGTGATATTTTATCAGGAGCATGATGCAGTTTATTATTGTAAAATAATTATGAGGGGCCTTCAAAAACGATGGAACAATGAGAAGATAATT